TTAACGTGGGTAACGTGTTACGGCGATCTGCTATACGGCAAGCCACTACGGAAAAACTTCCAGTGTTTTTTTTTAGCTTTCAAAACAACTACCCGTATATACAGTACAAATGTTGCAGCATCCTTAGAGCTTGTAGCGTTATCATAAGCTGTCTTTGGCTAGGGGCTGTCAATATTATTTATTAAATTCATGAAGTTATCTAGACCGTTGGTTTGTTTATTCCAGTAATTACTAAGATGCGGAATTAAGTTGTACTGCGAGTGATAAAACTAGCTTCAAACTGCACAAATGGAACGGATATATGGAACTGCTCCGAATGGCTCTCCACCAAAACAATATAATTCACCGAGATTTGAAGCCGCATAACATTCTTGTCAATCCGGTTAGGGAAGACTGGAATTCTCTAGTGATATGTGATTTAGATGACCCCATTCAGATGCAGTTGACTGATACGTGTTCAGGCGACATTCAGCGCGTCTGCGGAACTTTCAAGTATATGTCGCCCGAAATGCTGAGAACGTTTACGCAGCACACTAAAGAACCTATTGGGCGGAAAACGGAAAACGGGCGGAAAACGGAGCCTGGATTGCATCATCTTGGAGATTGCCAACTGCATTTTTGGTAGCTCCCGCTTAAAATTTCAAATAAATGAACACATTGTCGATCAGGACCAAATGAATGCCGCTGTTCAAGCGCATTGAACTACTAATTGACGGGTGTGGACCTGTGATATCTAAATCGATTCCAGAAAATCTGGCTGCGTGTATAGCACGTTGCTTGTGCGTAAACAGTGTATACAGAATTTCTGCGGCCTTACTTTTAAATCAACTGCGAGCTATGGAATTCAGCTAACGTTCTTCCTGTCTTGTGCGACCTTGTGTTGAGCAAGTCTTTTACGCTTTTTTTAATTCTTTTGAACGAGATTGGATTGCGTGCATGTTGTCTGAGATAGTGAGGCAAATGTGGAGAAAACGTTGCATTAACATTATACGCATCTGCAAGGTTTTTCTATAGAAGTATGCAAAGATCAGTCATCATGTAATGATGATGTATTGTATCGCAGTTCGGTAAAATTTAGCAAATCATAATAATTATTATACGGTTCTTCGTTATTCGCTCGTCATTACCGTGTGGTTGAACAATTCACTCCAATTCCAAATAGATCGCAACCACAAGTTTACCGAATAAAATTTCGGATGAATTTTGCTAACTTTTACCGCATGCTTGGATAGTACAGTGTTTCCATGAATTAGGTTCAATGCAGTCACAACTTATAGCCGAACGTAGTGAATGCCGCTTTACGAACGTCTGTCAGGGATGAAAGAAGTATCAGTGGATCGATGCCCATCTGCGTGAAGTACAAGAGGTCAGCAATGTACGCTACTTTGGGATCGTATGTATTGAGTACAGGAAGCAGCCCGTAGTATAAAACGCTGGGAGTCCAAAACACCAGTACACCACCTGTCAGCAATGTCAGCGCCCAAAAGGCATTGGATTTTTGTAACCGTGTCTTGTTCACCGTTGGTATGTTTCGCCTGGTTGCGGCAGCAACTGTTGCGCTAGGACCTAAAATTAGTTGAAAAGTCATAGTATAAAAATTAATTAGGCCGTATTTCTGATAACCTGGACTTAGTTTGTTTTATTACAACACTCGTCGGATTTAATAGGATACGGATAACATGCCATTCTTATGTAGCATACAGCAAAAAAACATCCAATACACACTTTTCATAAGGAGGATTAATTGCAGACTATGATACTAATCGTGTTTAATAAGCGCTTGGTACCAAAATAGTGATGATACTAATCGTGCTGTTGTAAAACTTCCAAGCGAAACAATGCATTTAAACTATAAATACAGTAACAGTTTTCTGATATCGTACGAAATTTTATTGTGTCTAATTTTTTAATATCTGCTGTCTACAGATATCGATATTACCCTTATCCGCGAAATTGCTGTGGACAGCATTATTCGTCCGCTGACGGTTGCGATACTGGTACAGCACAATCGGATACATAGCCAGCATAATTCCTTCCACGCCGATAATGACAAAAGATGTGATGGTGCTGGTGGTTTTTAAGAAACTGGTTTTCTTCAAATTCACCGCACAACCCCATTCCCCCACATCCAGCCCGTATGTTATCGCGGCGATAAATAAGGGTAACTGAAGGAGATGCGCCGCAATCCACGGGACAGCACAACTGACCAGCGCCACTTTCTGCGTATGATGAAATTTATAGGAAATCGGGAAGACGATCGCCCATAACCGGTTAACAGTCAACTGACAGTGGGCGAACATGGAAAACGTTCCCACCATGTATGTTGCATACACGATGAACGTGCACAACGGGATTGTGAAAAAGGGATCCGGGATGGTGTAGCCGTACAGGATAACATCCGGGATACCAAAAAGCAAATCCATTAGACAGTTGGCTAATAACAGGTTGCCGACGTACAAGTTAAACGGGTTGTTCATACTGGAATAATGCCAGAAAATAATGCATAATAATCCTGCATTCAGTGTACCACCGGTTATTGTTATGAAGATGCCAATGATAACTTCAGTTTTCCAAGTGAAACCACCGGTTGGTAGCGTTTCATTGTACTGGTTGGTGAAATTGGAAAGCTGCCACATTTGTACGATTGAAACGAACCGCTTAGTTATGTCGGATTTGAAACTTTTTAACGAATATACACATTTAATATTTTAGCTGTACATCGCCATCCTCTTAACGCCAGCAAATATCCACAATATCACATGATGAAGTCAGCTGAAAACTTTCGAATTCCCACATACGCGCCTAGCATTCTCCTGAGTCTGGACGAGCATATAGGGACAGCATTTATTAATCACTCAGCATCCGGTCCATATACGCAAAGGACATCTGCATACCACAGTTTTACAGTATCTTATTTCGTCAACGCTTTAGTTTGCTCAAGGATTTACCTATGCGTGACCGATTTCCGGTGGCAGCTGCGTTTTCACAAGTTTTATTTCATTATTGTAAGCTAACAAGTTAGAAATATTATGCATTATTGCAAATATCTGGACATTCTGCAAGTATTGATAAATATATATACTAGTATATTCCTTGTAATCTAGAATAAAAAAAATCGCGAGGTAATTAAGTACAACAGTAAGTACAACAGTCCAGTTAGTTACAATTTACGGTAATGTAATTTAACACATGACTGTGTAATACGCGTGTAATGTAATACATCCCACCAAGAATATTTGCGTACTGTTTTATGCGATGGGCTATGGTTGTCAGGCCTACTAACGGCGATCGCCGATTGAACCAGTAAATGAATGTCATCAAATTTATGCAGCAGGGCATGCATGGCTACGCAGTTACCTAATACTTATAATCGTCCTCATACTCATAATTCAATAAATTCTACTCTTATTCAGCAAGTTATACTCATAATGTATATCATAATCATACTTCACGGTCATTATATTTCTGCTTATAATCATAACTCATACCCGTACCACTACTCATACCAGTGCTTAGTGTTTCGTGACTTTCGCTGACACAAATTCATGCCGAAATAACATGACAGTTACAAGCTGAGCGCGGATAAATATTGGGCAGACCCAGTCTGGATGGCAAGAAGCCGGCTATGGAATCGCGACACAGTCGCAGTCCCAGTGCGGCCAGTGTCAATCAACCGTCGTCCAGTAATTTACCTTTCCTTTAGGAATTGAAAACCGAATCCACATCCTCTTGTGACCAAAAAGGTTTTGGCTGATGTGCCGGAAGTGAATGATATATTAAGCCAACCGTCATCGCCGGCACGGATGCCGGTTGCTTCGCCGTCGCCGGTGATGCCCAGTAGTCCAGCGCGGATGCTCAATGGGCATGCTCCGCGCCGCAGTCCATGAGTTCCAGCCACAAAGCCAAACTCCCTCGCCACCGCCACGGTGGAGGAATAATATGACGAAACTGAACATGAAGGATGCAGAACGGAAAGTATTACGACTTTCGGAGATACCTTTATTCAGTTTATTGGAAGAAACTGCACCAATTTACTGCATTTTACTGCATCAATAACAGCTTTTTTACATGTTTTTCAGATTTTCAGCATTTGCTTTTCTTGTTGTCGAACTGCTGTTAACAGCAGCTCACCGAAATCATCGTTTTACCACGGCCATGAGTTCTAGATATTTAATAACGAATTTAAAAGGTGACATTATAACTTATGTACTTCGTACCATTCTCTCCGTTCACTACCTTTTCGTTTTCCTGCTTTTCATGTTCCCTTATGAACAGAAATGGGAGAAAACGTTGCGACTTTTGAAAATTTACGTTTTAAAATAACAGAATTTTAAATAATAAAGAGATTTTTTTCATTTCGAACGGGTTCGAATGCATAAAGCCCACGTTTAATTTTGAAATAATTTAATTCGAAGAATGAAATCTGAAACGTTTGAAAGTTCAACCCTAGTATGTGGAGCGGTACGGGTATGGGTTATGATTATGAGCAGAAATATGATATGATTATGGTTATGATATACGTTATGAGTATAAGTTACTGAATATGAGTGAGTAGTCAGAGTAGAATTATGAGTATGAGGACGATCATGAGTATTAGGTACTAACTACCTACTACCTAGCCATGCAGCATGGATGTTATCTTTTTCCTTACCAGTAGGCAGTAATTAGAAATGACTCAACAAGGTGAATTTGCAGTTTTGGTCAGCCTATTCAAGTTGGTAACCTATGCTGTCGATCCGGAAAAGAAAAGAAGACCGCTTTTAATGATCGAATGTATTCGATTTCGATAAACAACCGCTCAGATTACCGTGTTTGTTATTGGGTATAGACGGAAACAGGTAACAAGGTAAAATTGTTGCTTTGATTAAAAGTGCTAAACGATACCATTTATCCGGAAGAAAATTCTCATTTGTTTCGTTGATCCAATTTCGTGGACTAAGACAAAGCAGTAAATCAATTACTTGTAGATGTCTAACATGTACATCTCGGTAATTGTTGTAAAACTGTGCGTACTAGGTAGTCAAGACGGAGATATTATCATATTAATACTGAATACAGATGCGCCCTATTGTTATCATATTCATCGGAATGAATTAGGAAAACAATGGAAACGATTTTCCGGCTATACATAACAATAAGTTAAATCAGCACTCGGCTCTGCGCTCTATGCTGTGTTACTGGTACACGCTTGCAATGGGGTAGTATCGAGATGGCTTATTTTCATATTGCAGTTCCTTCCGGCTATGTTGCTGTCAGATAGTCTTTGAAATTCTTGCTTGAGAGCGCTGCGGTAATTGTCGTTGACGGCAAAGAAAAACACCTAAAAGTATCCAACGTCGATTGCTAGAACACGAGACATATTGCTGGATGCAGTGGTATAATTGATATTCTACGATAACCGCATAAGTCTTATTATTAACAAAATATCTGATGCATAAGGCAAATTATTTACGAAATATTAAATGCAGAAGCCTTGACTTACCGGGCTTATAGCATAGCCCAGCAGCTGCGACGTCCGGGAATACTGCAGCAGCGCCAGATTCTGCTTCCAAGCGCCCGTATCAATCTGTGTCATGATCGCCGGCGGTAGAATGCAGGCACAGTACCATAGAAACGAGAAACACAACGCTTTGGTCATTGCCAGTCGCTTCTGGACCGATGCGCACGGTCTCTCCCCACCGTTGGCGCTCGGGGTTTCCCTGAACTTCTTTACTTGAAAAATTAGAAACAGTGAACCATAGCACGTTGTCTGGATAATAATCGGGATGTACGTTCCAAGCAGTCCGACAATCCGAAAGGCCACACCATCTCCACCCACCCACCGACAGGACGTTGCCGACTGCCGGGTGTACTGCAGTCCCGGAATAAACTGCAATGTGGTCAGATTCAAGAAGAAGGACATCGTCCACGCAAAACCCATGGCGACGGCCGATCCTTTCTTGGACGAGACCTTTTTATAGGCATGAGGTAACAAGACAGCAATGAAGCGGTTCAACGCCAGCATCACGCCGGACCAGTGCTCCGTATATAAAATCAGGATTAAGAAGAACCCGATCCACCGGCAGTTGTAATAAAACGGCACCTGGAAATACTGGCAGAACGCCTGGATCGTCGTGATGGGACTCATCAGCAGACAGTAAACCAGCTCGATCACCAGTGAGTGAGCGATTAACAGACCGGATCCGGTTTGGAGTTTATTTAATCGGTACATGACCAGCAGGAGTAGCATGAACAGCGCTGAGCCGCCGAGGCTCAGACCCAGCTGTGCCGTGAACCAGATTGTCAGTTGCACGGTCACGGCTGATGAAGAAGCGTTGGAACGGTGCAAGGTGGTGTTGGACTGGTTCCACATGTTTGCTATCTTTTCTCAGAATGACTCTCCAAAACGTAAATCAACGTGAATTTAAAACGTGTTGCGCGGAGAGGCAGAATCAGGATGATGTAGCTGTTATTAATTGCAAAGATAGAATGCGTTTTCTGGTCGTCGGCTGTATTGACGATGGTCAAGTGCGTCATAAGCGGTTAAAGCAAAGAATTAAATTAGTGGTGATAACTGCACATGACGATAGTGTATCTCATCAAAGAAGCGTGAAGATCACGAGGGTATCAGCGTGTTTGCGCCGCAAGGGTTTCCTTATGAAAGGGAATAAGGGATGCATCGCCAATAAATTATCAACTCCAGCGAGGAAGCCATAGATTATTAATTATCGAGGAAGATCGAATGATACCGCGTCTATTCATTTCCGCGTACTCCTGTGTAGTGCATCCATACTTCCCGCCAGATATAATTACCGGCTGGTTGGCAACGGCCCGGCATGATCATTAACGTCACAGCACCAGGCTACCTTTGACGATTGTGAAAATAGTAATTTCCCCGAGAGCCCTACTACGGCAGCCTACGCAGCAGTAAATTATAACTCCTGGATTCGTAAAGTTCAAGTTGGCAGCAATATCACGCTACCGATTTTGCCGAATCATGCTGGCTATTTCAGTAGTGCGCATGGAAGATATTTTCAGTGCCTACGCTGCGCAGTTAGGCTGTGGAAAACAGGGATACGAAAAACATAAAATAATGAATAAACGTACTTTCATCGCAGTATGATAGAGTAATGCCAGGCACGAAGTCTTTTCAATACTGTGCATTAACTAATTGCCATTAGAACAAGTTAAAAAGAAAAGTCACGCACATGTACCGATATTTAATGCTTATACCGAATACATTCTTCATGCAGCGTTATGGCAGTGTAATTACTAATATGGGAAAAACAGAGAGAAAGATTCGTAACAGATAAATAAGGCATGAGGTAGTAATACGGACATCGCCAGGATAGCAGTTTAATATCCCTTTCAAGATCAATTTGTCCAGAGCTGTGAGGCACGTCCGGTTTCAGCGATCACCGACCACTCACGGCTAAACGATCAATTACCAGTACGGATAATGCAAGGTCGCACGTCAATCACCGTTATCTCAGCATGGAATAACGGGGATAAAATCAGTGCCATTGCATTATCGAGTTTTAGGATGTTGTCTGCATCCGTACGCTCCCGCCTACGGATATGTCCAAAGAGGAATCCAACTGAGAACCGTACACATCCGATGGAATTGTTTTTTCAAGAAGAGACAGACTAAACGTAAAATCAATCACGCACTTAAAATCGTCGTCATACCGGTAACCTCCGGATAAACTGTCGTCGAATGTCCGCCTTAAAACTTGAATGGTGTAAAAAGACACTTGAAACAAGCAGACAATCGGACCACTTCCGGCATCCTCGTAAAGGAAGTCGCGCCTTTGTAAAAACTTAACACTCGTCTAAAGCGAAAGTAAAGTTAAGACGAAGCTGCGGTTGGCCCCGACAGTTAAGTGATGATATTAATTTATTTAAATGAGATATTGCATTTAGCCATCAGTTTTACCACAGTATGATAAACTTATGTGTATTTGCGGATGAAGTAAAGTATGCATGATAACGATTTTCGTATGCTATAAAAGTAACGCTAGCGGCTTTTCAACCGATTGCCAAAGTGTCATTAATTTCCAGCAGAAAAATTGCGTTGTTTATTAAAGTTGTCATTTCCATTTTATCACACATCCGCGTTACGGCTAGTTACTATCCCTTGTTTCAGATAAAAATTGACACGGAAGCACTTTTTCAATCATAACCCTTGTTTTTCCATTATCCCTATCTGAAATACACTATGGAAAATGCACTACTTTGTATTATCTAAAATGCTGTAACGTAGGTTCTTACTAACTGTAACTCAAAGCTGGCTAGATGGTATAAGTCTTTATTGATCTAAGACTGACTAAAACTATCAACGATTTTTTAGTATTGAAAACATAGGACTTATATATGAGAACAGATGGACAAGACAACGTCCAGTTACACAACGTTATTGGCGTATAGTGAATAGAAGTTATGACATTCAAACGGATGCACTTCCGTGTTGCGTAATATGCCTTTGTTGGCCAGTGCGTTATACAGCAACGCACTGTGGCTCGAACGCCAACCGGCACTTATGCATTGTGTAACAACTCTGTTGGCCAGTGAGTTGTGTAACAACTCACTGTTACTGTTATGCCAACGACCAGTACATACGTTGTGCATGTACACATGATAAATCATGTTACACTCCTTCTAAAGAAAAAAATAATTGAAAATTATTTATAAACTGGTCTTGTTTTTCTTTCACGTAAATTGTATCTTGGCTCATTGTTGTCCCTGTGTGGTGTTTTGGTGTTGCTTCCAGTGTCTCTGTTCTCTGTTGTATGTTGTTCTTTTGGAGTCGTTTTAGCGAGTTGGATATTCTCCTCTTCATCTAACTTGTCGTACCACGGTTTCAGTTGGGAAACGTGGACAACGTCCTTCTTGCGTTTTCCGTTTATGTTCTCAATTTCGTAGTTAACGTTGTTCAACTGTCGGATTACGCGATACGGTCCGTGCCAATGTTTAAGCAGTTTGGTGGTAAGCCGAGTGTCGGCTGGGATAATTTTGCCATCTTTGTTAACAAGCCGAGGTACGTTCCAGCGGTACACAAGGTCATTTGGTTCGTACTGCGCAGCTACTCTCCTCTCGTTATACGGTACTTGATTTCTTTCGTTTCCATCAATACATCGTAGTTTGGCTAATTCCTGTGCATCTTTTATATATTCCGTAGTCTCTCACATAATGGTCAAGGTCGTGAAAGGCTTCCGGTTGGTTTAATGCTGTGTCGAGGGCAGATGTTGCTTGGCGTCCATGTAGGAGTTCGTATGGAGAGTATTTTGTAGTGGCGTTGACGGTTGTATTAATGCAGTGTGTTACGAAGGGCAAGTAGTTATCCCATTTGTTGTGGTCGTCGCAGTATTTCGACAGACATTCGGCAATAGTCTTGTTTGCTCGCTCTGTCATTCCATTACTTTGTGGATGATATGAAGTCGTAAACCGTTGTTTGCAGTTTAGAAGCTTCGTCAACTGTGACAAAAGATCATTGCAAAAATGTCTCCCTCGATCGGATACGATGTATTTTGGTACCCCATGACGTAGGATGATTTGCTCCATTATAAATTTAGCGGCGTTCTCTGCTGTGGCATTTCTTACGGCTTTTGTTTCTATCCACTTGGACAGGTGGTCGATTGCAACTATAACGTATTGGTTCCCTTTGAGGATGTTGTATACGGGCCTTGATAGTCTATTCCGATGGTGTGCCAAGGTCCTTCCACGGAAACGGTTGCATCAAACCTGATGGTTTGCCTGGTGGAGGCTTTTTAACATTACAGGAAATACATTGTTTAATATATGCAGATATGGAGTCCGTCATGCCGGGCCAGTAATATTTGTCGTGAAGTTGGTGATACATTTTCTCAGTTCCAAAATGTCCATTTGCGTCGTGTGCATTATGCAAAACTTCTCTCTGCATTGATCTTGGGATGACTAACAGGGTAACCATTTTATCGTTCCGGTATGCTATGCGATACAGTAAGTCAGCTATCAACGTGAATCGTGTACGCCGGTATTTATAGGCTTCGATGTGCGTCGGGCCTTTAAGGATACTGGAAATTCGCCTGCAGAAGTTGTCTGTCTGTTGCTCTTGTTTTAGGTTGGAAGTCGTTATGTGAAATAACGGGTTGGCAAATTTCAGATTTTAGGCGTGTTGGAATTGTCGAAAGGATATCTTGACAGGCAATCGGCGACAACGTTCTCTTTTCCGGCTCTGTATCCGATATTAAAATTATACTGCCGTAACCTTAAAATCCAACGTGCGTGACGTCCTGTAAGATTCTTTGCGTTTATAAGTCCTCGCAGAGCATTGTGGTCCGTTATAACTTCAAAAGTTCTATTTGGATCGCCTATATATGGGCGAAACTTGTCGAGTGCCCACACTACTGCTAATAATTCCTGTTCCGTGGCGCTGTAGTTCCGTTCGGATTTTGATAAAGCTTTACTCGCGTAGGTGATGACCGTTTTCCTTCCGTCGTTTTCGACTTGGTGTAGAACAGCACCGAGTCCAACACCACTGGCGTCCGTCTCCACTATGTGCCGTAAATTCCGGTCGAAATGTGCCAGAATGGGTTTCGTTGTTAATGCTCGCTTCAATGTTTCAAAAGCTTTCTGCTGTGTTTCTGTCCACTGGAAAGGTGTGTCTTTGCAGGTCAGTTGATGTAAGGGTGCCGATATTGTAGCGAGGTTCGGGATAAACTTGCTGTAATATCCGACCATCCCGATAAATCCTCGAAGCTGTTTCCTGGTTGTCGGGGCTTGGTAGTTTTGTATGGCTTCTACTTTTTTGGGATTGGGAAATATGCCGTCTGGATTGACAAGATGTCCCAAAATTCTACTTCACGGTGTCCAAAGTTGCACTTTGATGGTTTAAGTTTTAGTCCTGCTGCCGTTAATCTTTGTAAAACTGTTTCTAAATGCTCAAGGTGTTCCTGAAATGTCCGGCTATGGATGTTTATATCATCCAGGTAAATAACGATGTATTGGCCAATTAATCCGGTAAAAATTTTATTCATCATGCGCTGGAATGTCGCGGGGGCATTGGTAAGGCCAAAAGGCATCACCTCGAATTGGTATTGGTTTGTCGAAGTAAGGAAAGCTGTTTTCACCTTGGATGATTCTTCAATCGGAATTTGCAGGTATCCTTGAACTAGATCTAGACTAGTAAAATATTTACTACCTCTAAGCGATTCTAAGCAGTCATCGATCCTTGGAATTGGGTATTTATCTTTGACAGTAATTTTGTTGAGGTCCCGATAATCCACACATATACGAATTTTATCTTTTGTTGTATTGGAACTAAATTAGCTGCATACTGGGATTGGCAAGGTGATATTATTCCTAGGTGTATCCATTCATCTATTTGCTTATCAATTGCCTCACGTTCCCACTGAGAAAATCGTCTCAGGTGCCTTGATGTTGGTTCGTTATTACCGGTGTCGATGTAACACTTCGCACAATTTGCACGTCCCATTGGTGATTGCTTCGTTGGAAAAATCTCGCGGTATTTAAACAGTAATTTCAGGAGCATTTTCTTCTCTTCACCGGTGAGTTCCGGTCCTAGCTTGACCATATCTTCAATGTCGGCCATTGACAGCTGGTCCTCTATAAATTTTGATGAGTCCCCCAGGAGGTCTTTCGGGCTTAATTGCCCATTTTCTTCTGCGTACGCCTTCTCCTCCTCTTCTCTTTCTTTATCTCTCTCTTCTTCAATCTTTTCTCTTCTCTCTTCTTTCTTCTCTTCTCTCTACTTCTTTCTTCCCCGGAGACTTCTTTGTTAACATCATGCCTTCAGTGATTCCTAGGTTCTTCACTGATGAACAGTGCTGCTCCTCCCTCTCATCGCGCGTTTGATTGGGTGTTCGTACATCTCCAACCCTCCGACCAAATCGGCCAAACTTGGGCAAAGGTTGTGCTGAGGATGTCCGGTTGCGGAGTAGCGTATTCGTGGATGGTACTGGCATGGTGTTCTTTAAATCGGCCATTAGACGTGCCTGGGATTGAAGACTTTATTTTGTTTGAAATCAATCACAAAGGGTGTTGACCGAAGATAGTCGGTCCCAAGCAGCATGGCATATGGGAACCCCTCTAGTATGGCTGCTTTCACCCATACTCTCTCTTTCATCAAATCTATGGGGACTCTGCATGATCCTGAAATGTTGAGTTTATCACCTGATGCGGACGTTGCGATGGTACCGTTCCATGGTTGTTTAGTCAAATTCTTTTTCTCAAAAAATTTCTGATTTATTATTGAAATTCCTGATCCGGTATCTACGATGGCTTCTATTGGCTCATTGTCAACTCGTACTTTGCAGGTTATTGCGCCGGATGTCGAATTTGTACAGACCAGTTGATTGTTTACCGTAGCAAAAGAGCCTTATCTGCCACGGCCTTTAGTTTAACTCAGGTATTTCCAGTGTGTCGTCGTGTTCTTCGTAGCTGAAGTACGACGGTTGCCTGTTGTTATTATTACTGTCGCGGTTAGAATTTCCTCCCCTGGAAAAATTGTTCGGGTTTCTTCTGTAATTCTGGTCCGTATTTCGTCCCTGGCTTCTGCATTCGCGAGCGACATGACCTTTTCTTCCACATTTATTGCATTTTGTCCAACAGTCCTTCTGCATATGACCTTTATTACCACAGCGGTGACATATTGCATCTGAACGAGTGTTGCGTCCGTTAAATCGGCTTTCGTTACGCCGGAAGTTGGGCTGGGATCCTCGTGTTATGTTTTCCACAATGTTGACTACTTGATCCAGGCGTTTAGACAAATCAGTTATTTCGCTGTTCCGTGTTTCCGTAAAGAAAACCTTTGCTTTTGAGTCATCAGCCTCTGATTCCCTTTGGGCCTTTTCCTTGTACTGCTCCTTAGTTGCCTCGGTCTTCAGCTTGTCCAGGAACTGGGCTACGGTTGTCGGTCGATTGGTGACAAAGTTCGATTTCATGCGTGTCGGGAGTTCACGAAATAATTCGTTCGCCTTTTCGTGCTCAGTGGCTGTAGGGTTGATGACATCAAACATTTTCAGGACTTTCGTGACGTATGATGGAGGATCCGACTTCGCTAAGTTCTGGTATTCTTCCTTCTTCAGGTCGTAGTCCAGGTCAGTAGGGCCAAAAATTTTAAGCAGGGCGTTCTTCGCGCTGATCCAGGTTACATGTTTGGTTTGCTCCGATTCCCACCATCTTAAGGCATTGTTGATGAAGCACAAGTTAAGATTCGTCAGTTTTGTCGCTTCCGTCCATCCATAAACTCGGGTAAAACTTTCGTAGCGTTCGGTAAACTCGCGTACATCTTCGTGTGACTCACCGCCAAATTTCGGAAATCTTTAGGAGAAAGTTGCATTCCGGACGTTTGAAGAATGGTAGTAATGGGAGTTGATCCAGTTTGTTGCTGTTGTTGTTGCTGTTGTTGTTGCTGCTGTTGTTGTTGCTGCTGTTGTTGTTGCTGTTGTTGTTGCTGTTGTTGTTGTTTAAGTGAGGTCATTTCTTGAAGAAGTTGGTCGATCTTTCTTCCGTACACATTGTTTGTGTTGATTAATGACTGGAAGGCCCTATCCTTTGTTGCTAGATACAATGCTTTAAGGTCAGCCTTGGACATCTTGAATGGAAAAGTTCCATTTTGGAGTTGGGATAGTGCGTCAGCTTCGTCAGTAACAGTGATCACGTTGTAAAGGTCAATTAGGATTGGGATGTCGTTTAGGCTAAACCGTCTGAGGATGTCGTGTTTTGAAATCAGTGGTTGTAGTCCTGTATGGATTGCTTGCACTTGGGTATCCTCAAATGTGATAGTGGTCATTGTTGCTGGATTTGGCGTTGATGTTGTGGAAAGGTCACTGTCTGTGTCTGTCGCTCTATTGTCAGTATTGCGTGTCTTACCTGCCTGGTTGGCAAGGCGCAGCTCGATGTCGGTTTGCTCAAAATTCTTATCCGGTATGTCGGTGTTACTACGAGTGTTCGGCATCAACTGATAAGAGGTCACAGAGTAATCCGTTCAGTACATATGGTGGACAAATATGGAAAGGTCAGGGTTATAGCAGAAACAGGAATCGGACTGAAATGTCAGATGTAGACAGCTGGATCGGAACCGATAGTTCACTTATGTTGTAAGCTGTATGGAACTATTATGTCAGTTTAGTACATAAAGGTCAAATGTAATCCATTGTAATCCATAAAGATCGGTAGATACAGTGGGATCAGTGTGGAAAGGTCAATGGAGGTTGATAGTAAACACTTTAAAGACCACTGGAGCCACCATTTGTAACGTAGGTTCTTACTAACTGTAACTCAAAGCTGGCTAGATGGTATAAGTCTTTATTGATCTAAGACTGACTAAAACTATCAACGATTTTTAGTATTGAAAACATAGGACTTATATATGAGAACAGATGGACAAGACAACGTCCAGTTACACAACGTTATTGGCGTATAGTGAATAGAAGTTATGACATTCAAACGGATGCACTTCCGTGTTGCGTAATATGCCTTTGTTGGCCAGTGCGTTATACAGCAACGCACTGTGGCTCGAACGCCAACCGGCACTTATGCATTGTGTAACAACTCTGTTGGCCAGTGAGTTGTGTAACAACTCACTGTTACTGTTATGCCAACGACCAGTACATACGTTGTGCATGTACACATGATAAATCATGTTACAATGCAACCTGTAAAATTTTCGCTGTTTCGCTTTTCCACTGCGCTTCCGCCTTTAACATTATCACAAACAACTAAAACTTGTTCTAGAAACTTTGACACAGCCACACAGCCAATAAATAACATTTACTGTGAATACAATAATTTTACGCAGCGTAATCTATTGCATTTGTGATTAATCATCTTTGCGCATTATCCTGGCTTTTTTTGAGTATTTTACGCACAAGATCACAGCGGTGCTAACTGAATGACAGTACGACGTAGGTACAGTATATCCGTATTGAAGCGCGTTGATCGTTTAATGTGCAGTTGACAAGATCAGAAAAATATCAGTAATCAGAAGCGGAATGTGCGTAATATGTCAGTACAAAGTTTCGTGTTACTGACATAGCCATACCTTCGTCGCATACATCGCAAATGCAGTCATTTTTTTGGTAATTGGCCTGATGTAAAATAAATATGCAGCTGGCTCTTACGGCTCTCATTTTGTGGTCGACGTTATGGCTGGTGTTCAGCCAGCCAGTCGAGGATAATTCATTACGAACAACGGAGGAAGATTCTGCTTTTCAAGCGGACCAGGAAGATGGCGTTGTTCTGGAAGATCCGCGCGCAGGACGCACAAATCGCGCATATGAGCGAGCGTCGTACACCATGAAGGGCGGAAATGTCCACTTACTGTGCGAATCCAACAAAGAAGAGGAGTGTTCAGAATGGTGCAAGGAGAAGAACGGCGGAACGGGAATTTGCTTGGGAACGCCGGTCAAATGCCTGTGTATCAGCTACGAGGAATAAGCCCTCTGCAGTTTATTTATGACTATGAATACGGGCAACATCCAAAACTAACTCGTCTGCTGGTTTGTCCTTAATATGACGAGAATATTCTCTAGTTTGTACTGTTTGTATTTTTGTCCGACTTAAGTGATTTTTATACATAACTTTAACCATGTGAGAAATTCGTTATACTACTTCGTTTGTTCTCGATTATGTGTAATTTAATTCGATTGATGTTTACAATATGGGTGGTGATTTTTATGTAGCACAATCTAAAATATAACGTTCTAAACTGTACTTCAAGCATACAAATTAAAAATATGAGGCAAGTAAACGTTAGCGTTAGATGAGAGTTTTAGCTACGACTTCGCGGAAGCTTACCATAATTTCTGGTAATGTCGTGTAAGCAACGCTCCCGGAATTGAATGCTTAAAGCTGTCTTTATCACAGTGAAACGCGTGTATACGGAATGTGTTGATGATTGTTATCATCCCGTTTACGAACATGATCTTTATGCTGATAACACAGCTACAAGCTGAACAATAAATATATACAGTAAATTTAATACTGCGGCAATTTAGGAGAGTGATCGATTCGCCGTATATGTTATTGCAGGAAATGCGGTATATGTAGTTCCTGTTAGTAAGCATTGCCGTGCAAGGCCAGGATTTTTTACTAAGAGTATTTGTTTATTTACTTGGGATGCTACAAACGCGTTATGGCCAGAAACGCAGAATCCAGATTCCATAACTCCAATTTCTGCTGCTTTTTAATGTTTTCCTTGCAATTACCACAGCTATTAACAGCTGACATCACGGACAGTGCACTAATGTCTAGCGCCTTTCCGGCTGGCAGCAGCATTGCACTCGACGATTACTGTAACCGAGAAGGACCCGTGATAACTGCATCAAAATACGGTGGAACATTTCAGTTCTCAAAATATCCATTGAGGAACTGCAACGTTTCTCTAACTGTTGCCGTTGTTCCTGTTAATCACCGAAAATACACGTTGTATGTCAATGTGAGGTTAGTATACATCGGTACATTATAGATACTATCATACTGTACTTACTTACATATATCTATAAACGCACGTCTTCGTATACTCGTATTATACAATACGTACGAAGCATAATTACATCAGGTAATCAGGAGCAATTACCGAAAATTGTACGTAGTTTGCAATTTTTTAGTGATGCTGAAACAGTACTCGAGTAGTGATACTATATTTCAGAGAATTGCATATGCCTCAAACGGACGTCATTTATGTATATCAGCACCAGACAGTGAGCAACTCCACCATGCTTATTTTGTTAAAAGAAATGTGGACTTGGCGAGACAGTAGTACTTCTACAAAATACCAGCTTACAAAAAGTGCTGGGCAGTTTCGTACAGCCGCCTTCTCCCACACCACTGCGTTGTCACTGGAGGTCATCCGAAATGGGATTCCGGTGGAGGAAGACCATCGCGTTGTTTTTGAATATACTCTCACAGTCGGTAAATTTACTGATACGACTGCCTTACTGTATTTCGTCTCATGTCAGAGTCGTGCGAATTACAATTTATGAACGTATGGACATCGTTTGCTATGGTAGATACGCTGTGGGCCAGTGAGTCTCAACAATGGGTATATTGTCCAGCACTAAAAGGATACGTGTATGGCGAATTGGCTTGCAAGAACAAGGACCATCTGACATGTCCCACTGCATTCAAAAACAGTGTTCGGATACACAATCCAGCGATACCTGTTGAAAGTCCTTGCAAAAGTACGACAAAGTAAATCGTTCACCGGAAAACGTTTGACGTATAGTAACTTTACGCATCTGTTTCTAGGCAGGGTAGACATGTATTATGATTCTTCGCCGGCTATTCGTGATACTTTTACTAAAACCATTGCAGTTGTCCACAAGGCGGAAAAGTATCGTGAAGATTTCGAGAGCCCGTCTCTAAGCGGCTGGAGAACCCGCACTGCCACAAAATCGCTCGGTATGAACCGCACTATGCGTTTACGCCCTGAGAATGTGCAGGTCGCCGATGGTTTACTACAAATCCGTGCGGAAGTCAGATCCGATAGCTCTTCCCGTCCTTCCTACTACGCTGGCCAAATCAGTAGTGGATCTGTCTTCAGCTTTACTTACGGGGAAGTCGTGATACGCGCCAAGCTGCCGGTGGGTAATCTCCGCTTCTTGTCGGTTGCATCCTACTTTCGTCTGGTTGATCATCGATGCGCCTTTGATGAATCGCCAGTGTGTAAGGAGCAAGCGATCTACATTGCTGATTTAATAACGGCTGATTCAAACCGCGTGGAGATCGGAGTCAGCTACGGTCCGCCGTCGTTGGGCGATGTCGCCGACTTTGTATATGCCGCCGACAGCTGTTTAGCCGACGGGCAGTTCCACCTGTTTAGAATGCAGTGGCGGAAAGACCGCATTACATGGTTCGTCGATGATGTAGAAATCAAAGCGCTGACAGATGTGGAAAAAATTCCGACAACTCGAATGCAGATATTGATCGAACTAGCGGCGTTCCCGGGATTCCGTCCGGCCAACATGACAACAGAGTTGTTGATTGACTACATCATCGTGCGAGAAGATTTGCCTGAGGGAGCAGATCTGCAGCTGAAAATCTGGGCTTCTGTTGGCACGCTCCTATCGGCTGTACTGCTGTTATTAGGTTTGCTTTGTTATTGGCACAGGCGGATGAAACGTCGGGAAGCTGCCAGTACGTCTGTGGCTGATGTAAGAGCTGCGACAAACAAGCACATCACTGAAATGTACCGTGCATGGACAATGCCGGCGACGGTCGCTCGACTAAAAATTCCAAGACGGGCTTTGAAAATAGGTAGAAATTTGTGTAACAACGGCTTGTTGATTCTGTTCTTAAGCCTTTGAACAATGAAGAAACGGGTATAAATTTCCTGTTTTTATAATCGTGGTTTTTTATAATCGTGGTTTTTTATAATCGTGGTTTTTTATAATCGATGTGCATGGTTTCGCCGTAGAGAGAAAACTCGATGAAGGCGAGTTTGGAATTGTCTGGAAGGGACGAGCAATGAAGCTGCGGCAATGCGCTGCACCCAGGACGGTGGCCGTCAAATGCGTCAAAAATTTTGCCGATGCTAATCAACATAAGCTGCTTATGGAGGAAGCTGCCATACACGGTTCCGTTGGGCGACATCTGAACATTGTCAATCTTCTGGGAATAGTTTTAGCTGGTACGTTACTAACGTTAGAAATAAAATTTCTGTAAAACGCAGCAATGATATTAGGTTAGCAAAGGTTAACTTCTTGTGTCTGCTTCTAAAGAGCAACTGCATCTTCTGTTGGAATACTCACCATTCGGCAGTTTGCTCAAGTATCTTCGTGATCAGGGCAAGCTTTCCCGGAAATCCGAGGGCAGTGAATTGCGCTATGTCAACGCTGCCGTGTGTGACCCAACAACCGACACAGTTGGCTGTGATCTCCCTACGCCTGCAGAATATTCTCTACTTAACCGCGAATTCATCAACTTCACATACCAAATTAGCCGCGGGATGGAGTATCTGGCCCTTCACAGTGTTATTCACAGAGATCTGGCTGCTCGAAATATTCTGGTTTACGACAACAAGATTCTGAGAATCTGTGATTTCGGATTGGCCAAACAGAAGTCGGAATATTATAGAATGGCTGACGCTCAGGTACTAGTAGCCCAAAATTCCTGGATGTCGTCCCGTGTCTTTGCACGCGTATCACGGTTGCAATGTAGAGAGTTGTCCAAGTTTTAAAAGTTTCATGTGAATTTTTTAAAGCGAAAAACTCAGCTCGTACGCTTGAATGCTTATACTCGTACCTTCCCTGCTTTCTGAGAAGTGCTGCACTAAGCGCGAACAACGTTAAACTTCACTCGTTAATTCCAGAATGCCAAAATTCCAGCCAGATGGATGGCACCGGAGAGTTTACAAGACAGGATCTTCACAGAGAAAACTGATGTGTGGTCATTTGGAATCGTCATATGGGAAATGTTTTCGTTCGGCAAGGTTCCTTATCACGACACTTTCCGTCAAATTGCGCTCCAAGAGTTCACGTCAGCACTGCATGAAGGCCTGAGACCTGTAGCGCCACCAAACTGTCCGGAAGAGGTGTAAGTACTAAGTACTGCCCAAAAATATCTGTATTGTAATTACACAGTAACGAATTTGTGGCTGTTCCGGATGTTGTATTGCATCTCGGTAGACTTGTAGAGAAGAATCTAAGAAACTAAGTCTAACAAGTACGTAAGAATTTGTGCCTGATGTCGTAACCTTGAACGCACAGCATTTTGAAACCATCCTGAATTTTGGTAGGTGCAAAATTATGGAACAGTGCTGGAGATATGACGCTGCGCAGAGGCCAAGTTTTACCTCGTTGGTTCAGACTATTGAAACGCTTGTTGACCGCGACGCTCAAAACCATTACGTGCAATTAAACCAACCATACGTGATTTTTAATCAAAACAACTGTGCAGCGCCTAATCTACTGGAAACGGACAGATGATCTTTAGCTTACCGCAATAACATTTTTTTGAAAACCTTTGTACTAGTATTTTCCATTTTTTTCTTACAACATTTTATAGGGTTTGCCGGTCAAGGGATAATTAAATCTGTTGCACTGCACTTTAAGTGTGGATCATATTGCTAAGCTTGGAGGAAAAATATAATTGCCGGACATTATTTTGCGCTTTGTGACTCCGTTCGTTGCTGTTTCCGGTAGTTGCCTTAAGCTTATTTCCTCTATCTAATGAATGCCGACTAATAAGTTTTTATTTCAACAGATTACCGATATTTTGCCCGAAATATAGTTGGTAACTGTAAATTAAGCAAAAGAATGGCGTGCAGAATTTAGTTAATGTCTATTAAATTTGGTCAGGGAGATTTTTGGCACTGTAGTACTACGGTACAAGAAAGCCAGCATAACTCGGGCGCAGGTATTAAAGTTAACGTACACACAAGTTAGCTACGGACGCGTATCTGTAGATCTTATTTATCTCCGATATTTAACAGTCGTTTCACGGCCATCCTGTACTCCGGTCGCAGCACTAAGAAAAACACCTGAAGACAGAAAAAGTTAATCTAATAAACTTTAACCTTAAGAAAATCAGTATTAAGTTATGAACATAATTTTATGTACATTTACAAGACGATTTCCCGACGGTGATAAAAACCAGATCAGCCTGCTCTGGTATCTTTAGAATACTCATTTAGCGCTTTCAGTAATCAAACTAACCATACCACAGAATTAAAACCTAGAGATCCTGGATGATTTTCGAATATGATCACTGATTTTTGAAGGATTCTAACGGTACGAAGAGCAGCTGTACGATACAAAGAACGGATATACTATACGAAGAGCAGGCCTGATCCTATCATGGTCCGAATATCGCCTTGTTGCATACCTACTATTAGTTTTACGTGTACCTAATACATATTACTTTTTGTTCAACACCGCAATGGGAACGGTTGACTACAGTGCACGTATATACCTACCGGACTGGCCGCGTAGCCGAGAATTTGCGTGGTTCTCGTATACAGCAGTAACCTTATATCTCTCCTCCACCAAGCACCATAAAACATTGTCAAAATGACCGTTGGCAGAGTGCACAAACAGTACCACAACAACGATAAAACCAACACTTTCGCAATCGACAACCTCCTCTTCAGGAGATTTTTGTGGCTCTCACTCCTCCCTTCGTTAAACCGGCGACCCAGTCGAAACATCAAGAATAAACTGCTGTACATAATCGTCAGCAACACCAGCGGTACGTACGTTCCCAGTGTACCCAAGATGGCAAAGGTCACCCCTTCATTCCTCACCACTCCACAACTGCCGGATGGCAATAATGCGTGCTTCAATCCCGGTAACAGATCCAGTGTGGGAACGGCACAAACCATCGTCATACTCCAGATCATCATCACAACGCAAGCAGTGAAACGCGGTGATGTAAAGCGCTTGTACCAGTACGGTAGTAAAATAGCGATCAGCCGGTTAGCGGCCAGTGCCACGGCCGTCCAGTTGGCTGTATACACGATCAGGAGCATTAAAAAGCTGGTGAAGGTGCAATCGTACGGGAAGACGAAATCTATCTGCTTAAGGTAGATGGGGATATTGGTGATGGGCGTGATAACCAGGCAGAATGTCAGATCCACAAGCAGAGCATGCGCGATGAGATAGCCAGAGCCGGTTTTCAGTTTGTGCAAACGGGACATCAGCATCAAGAGGAGCACGATGAGAAGAGCTCCCAGTAGGCTCAGAAAAAACTGTATTCCAATCCAGATTGTTACTTCCGTTTTGGAAATTGTTCCAACGGTAGGAAACGAGAAATTCCCGGTTGTATTGTTAGTAAAAACCATTTGATTATTTTAATAATATCAAGCGAATTAAAAATTCCAAAGTGATAATTCAAAAATCTATAAGCGGGAAAGATGGATGTGGTCGATCCGAAGCATTTAACTAAGGGTAGAAAGCCGAGAGAAACCACGAAAGTTTATTACAAGTGCACTAACGTTATTTTTGTGGTTAGCAGGAACGTTTGGATGCTGCATTAAACAATGGTAATGGTAGCTCATGACAGTTGCAAAGAAAGCAGTGGACAATCTAGAGCTGACTGCGCCAAAGTTCAGAACCAAAGAAGGAGTGACATTACATTACCATAGCGCAAGGCCTGGGCGCCATGATTATCCGTCTCATTAGGAGACAAGAAGCCAGAACAGTACTGCGCCCAGAAAACGCTATTTGCAATACGATCCTGCCAAATAACCATGTTCAGGGAAGCCTAGTGTCTCGTCTATTTTTCTCGTTAGCGGAAAGATCCTTTTGATTCATTAATTATACATAGCTCCTATACGCCTGGGGCAACAGTAAGCAGTAAACAGATCCAGTTACCGACCCAAATCATTAATTTCGGACAATAAATTTTTGGAACTTAGATAATGCCGCGTTCTCTACTGCTTGCTGATCCGATAAATTAGATACCTATCTTTTGACTTTTACATATAAGCTGTAATAATATGCAGATAGCTAAATATCGGATTTTTAATTCCGTAACGGTAATATCCATTGTTGGGTGATCACTGCCGTGCGAAATCTGATCACAAAGGTGTACCGATCGGCTTAGTTAAATTGCAGTTAACACTTCCTTACAGATTGAGTATTACGTACAAACATGCATACAGTAAAAATTGCTCCCAGGAAGCCATTATGCAATCGCTTCCGAAGAGGAACTTTAACTTGCATTAAATGTTGCGGTGAACTGCTTTCCACTTTCCAGTTTTTACAGAGTCATGCCATGAGTGCAGCAGAACAGACAAATATCAAGTCATAAAATACGAGATTTTATAGATATTACTGATAGTGACGTCCACAAAAGCTGATAAACCGTTTGGAATGAGGAGTGTGCTGCAACACATCTTTCCTACAGGCGCACAGTTGTATTACCGCATGGTAATTAGATATGGAACACAAACAATATTTTAATGATTGACACACTTGTCACCATGTTTGTGCAAACATCGTCTTGTCCTTTTGGGAATTTTATTCCAGATAGCAGAATTCCATCAGCTGCTATGTATGCACTATGCACCAGGCGCGCCCTTCAGATCCGGAAACCATTTGATTGGAGTGGATGCAGTCCAAAGTAGCTTCATATTGTATTTGCATGTGGAATTTGGATCGTTCTAATGGTAAGTCAGTCGGTATCCTTACGACAAATTTGTATTCTGATATACATATCACTGATTAAAAATGTATAAAAATTATTCAATATCAACCGTTTCGCCCGAAGCGCACAACGTCAACAGCAGCCAGCTATATTCGGATCTTTCGGACAGTAGCGAACGGACAAAACCATTCGTATGGATATGGCCAATTTTATTCATCCTAATTCTTTTATCGAACGGCTGCTTATTACTTCTACTGTTGATAAAACGTTACCTCATCACATCATTCACGATATATCTACTCTCCATACTTATCTCCAATATTCTCTGCTGGTGCGTGTGTATGCTGCCGTTAGAGATGGTCTCCTTCTTGTCAACAACATGGTGGATGGGCGAATTCGCTTGCGACCTTTACCTTTACGGAAACTGGCTGGTTCCAGGTGTCCTCGCTTTGTCGCACGCCCTTATGTCGTTAACCCGCATTTGGGCGGTATTTGGGCCGATTTCTTATCGCGCTGTTCATACTCCCCGGTTGGCGGTTATTTTTTGCGCAATTCTCTGGATTGCAGTGCATCTGTTCTGCCTGCCGATGATAATTCGGGACCGCGTTTCTTACCCACTACCCTTGACCAACGGATGCCGGTTGAATATCGACGCACCCGGCGAATGGAGCGAAGTCTATCTGACATTGGTCTTCTACGCTGCTGACGTCATTATCTTGTTATCGTTTCCTTTTATCGGCTATAAAAATGTGCGGAATAATCAACATCATGCGAAACTGGTGGCGCCAGATGGATTGAAGGGTCCCGTGTATTACAAGTCGAAATCGTTTGTGGCGCTGACAGCGATGACGGTGAGTATCGCTTTGATTTGGACACCGAATCACGTGGTGAGTATTATCAGCAAGTACTACAACGTCATCGTCCCCGATATTGTCTGGCAGTTACTGTGGATTTTGTATCCGGTGCAAGCCGTGGTGGACCCGCTGTTGTTTGCCTTGTGTCTGGCTGATGTGCGTAGTGAAATTAAACGACTGGCCGCGAAACTGAAAAACAAGATGTATACTTTGGTGAATCGTGCAGCAAGGATGGGGAGGGAAAAGAGGATGAGTGCAGCCGGACATATTCCCCTGGAATCCTTAGAGATATAACGATACTTTAACTTCCATGGAACAGCCGCAGCGCAACCGGTTTTAGGAATGCTATCGATGATGTCCTTATGCCTTCCCATTTGAGAAATTCTCAACTCCTTTGCCAATGTCCACTTTCGATGGTACATAGTTTTGAGCGGTAGTACTGTAACCTATGGTCCTACTCTGTATGTTTAAGCGCTGACCACCGATGCGGATACTTGTAGTAAAAAAGCGAATGGTAACGAAATACATACGGTACATAGTAATTAGTAATTAAGTGGCAGCTACATGTGAATTTTGTTACGATGGGTTGGTTCATCGCTAATTTAACGGTGTTGTAATTTTAATCGAATCTAAAAATTACATGGGCGGATCAGTTTTGCCGGTTTTGGGTCAAAGGTTTCTTAGATTTTGTGCTTTTCGAGCGTAGCAAACAACGAAGATTTAATCGTGAATACCTATTACCTAAAATGCACCGCTAAAATGTACTAAAATTAATACATATATTACCATGACAGACTCACCATCGAAAATATAAGCAGGCAACTTTGTTTTGAACAGTCATATTCTTTGGACCTCCTTGGTTCCGGCAGCTTTTGTCTCTCTAAGTGGATATGTGGATAAACAAACATAAAGGGCAACGGTTTCCTCGAAGATGTGCAACACTTATCGAGCAAGCGCGACAAAGCATCTGTGCGCATTGGACAATATTTACCACACTAATTAATAATAATTAAATTAATTCACTGACCTGCTGACGTCCTTCAACTGGGTAATTTCCGCGCTTCCGTCGTACTTTAAAAGACTAATGCCTGGGGACTGAATATGAAAATTACTTGATCATGTGCGGGCATGCGATCTCGCTACATGTATCATTCTACAGAAACTAGCGGACTGCAGTTAGAAAAGGCCGAGTTTGTAACACGATATCGCTAATTCGAATTGATAACACAATTAGTACTCTGTATTATGACCTTTTTCTCACATGACTGGTGATCGAAGCCCAACGATAAAATCCTGGCATTGCTCTACGCTGCTATAAGCTTTTGTCAAGCGGTATCATTCTATACGAAAACGTTTTGTATGCATTTTGCCGAGTCATTAATTGCAAAATAATAGCGTGCGAGCGATTTCTTTGTGCAGTAGCTTTGCTATTGAAACTATTTAAGTGGGGCACACGTTATCTTGTCTTCGTTTTACAGAACAGTTGTAAGGTCTTGGTTCGCGCACTTAAACTCGACCAAAATGGTTAAAGTGCTGTTTTACGGAAAACTGGCGCAGCCTGTTGAAGAATTCGATTGTACGGCGTTTACGTTACTGATAGTACATTGCTAAACCATACACTAAAGGCATCGTGCGAAAAATGGAAAACACAACGAATTACTCCATGCTGAAAAGCAACGCCCCTTCCGCTGCGGAACTAAACATTTGGATCGCAGCATTGTTCGGTTTCGGTTTTATAGGTGCTGCCTTGATTGTCCTTCTTCTGATGGTCATGTCGCGACTGCACAAACTAAAAACCGGTTCGGGACTGTTAGTCACGCACGCATTATTAACCGACCTGAGCTTTTGCCTCGTTCTTAATCCCGTCATTAACATCCCGATTTATTTGACGCAAATGCGCATACCGATGACGTACCATTGCATTCTACCAGATTTCCTGCTCCCGTTTCATATCTACCTGGGAAACTGGACGGCCGTGGCGCTGGCCGTTAATCGGGTCATCGCCATTGTTTTCCCGCATCTGTATCCACACGTTTCATCGCAGCGCTTTTCCGTCGGCGTATTGCTTGTGGTGTGGAGTATTGCTATGAGCTGCACCGTTCCGATTTTCGCCGTTCCCGGGATGCTGCACGGACAACTGCCGTCCGGTGCCTGTGGACTGTTGCGTCTGCAAGGCGTGACCTTTACGGTGGTGGGAGCCATTGGCAGCTACCTGCCCATTATTTTATTGGGCATCATCTACATCGGGCTTTTTATCTATGCACGTGTGACAAAGACCCATTATCGTCGTAATTCCGCGGATCGACAGCGCACTATCTGGCAAAAGCGGCTAGCCATTGCTAAAGCCCTCTTTTTGTGTTTCGCGTGGTATACGGTGTGCACACTGCCGCCCTCCGTGTTGGCCATATTTTACGGGTTTTGGTGGAATAAGGAAGTCCGACTGCTGCTGTTTACGCGGGGAGCGCAAATCATCGGTTACTCTGCAAGTCCAGTAAGAGTACTCTTTTTATTTAGCTAAAGGATTATGTCCAAAACTTTATTTCCTGGTTTCAGGTTTTTTTCTTCGCCATGAATGCAGATTATCGGGCGGCGCTGAAGAACTATTTATGTATTCATAAACCGCATGGAGGAAAAGTCCGAGCAGTCAACAGCAGCACAAAGGCTCACCAAAGTTTCAAGCCCTACTCCCTGGGAGGCGTAATATAAAATATCACTTTTTTGTTAATAACAAAATAGTGAACTTCTTCCCTGTTGGGGGACATGTGTCTTTGTCAAGAACTGTTACATACATTAATGGTCATTCTTCGGAATTTTTTCAGCATTCCGATTACGAAGTATTGGTTTCGGTATTTACAGGACATAAACAGAACTGTTTTGGTGTATTAATATTGCCGGTGATCTTGGGACTTACGACGCATGTGATGTTTGACTTTGATCAAGATCAAAATCAAAATAGACACTAATTATTCGTGTTGACATTTTATTATCGGTCAACATTTGCGTCAGTACGCGGACATTACACTGGCAAGATGCCGACTCACTCCACTAAGCAGCTACAAGAAAGATCCTGTAATACAATGCCGGAAGTTGTTTCCGGAATAATTTGGTTTGCTGTACACGCTGCATGAGGAAACATATGGTACACGCACATACTGCAACATCCGCCGACACCAGACCGGTCACGTGACATCAGTGGACGTGAAATATTTCTACAAGTACGAGGAGCTCTTTCTAGACACATTTGCATCAGATACACATGGTCACTCGGATGCCGATCATCTTGCATGCAGCGAACACCATCCCCATCCCGAACTTTTTAGACTCGAATAACTGACTATGGTCGATGCAAGGCAAACTATCAATATTTCATCGTGTTCCTCGTGTTTCTCGTGTTCCTCATCGTGCCCTTCAGTTCATAATTATTGAAAAAACCTTTTTAATTCGTGGGCGTTGCGAGCTGTCAGCGTCTGTCGACGTCTGCGTCATGCAAAGTATTTACCCGTATATCCTAAAACATTATTGCCAGAGAAATCGTAACACTTACTCTCACTGCACTAACAGCCACGCTCTGTCATGGACATTTGTGTGATAATACAAGAATATAATTGTATATTTAAAATTTTAAAGCTGTCCTAGAATAGTGGTTGGATTCTGCGTGGGCGCAGGCTCTTTGTTATCCGTTTGGTCGCGGCCTCAGATGGTCTGCCATACATTCTCTAATCCTGTAGCTCTTTTCACCTCTTTTCTTTAGCATTTTTGGCACCACATATCGGCTCCTGTGTCATTAAAACAGCTGACAAGTGCGGGCCGTCAGTCTGACCTTTATCATCGAGTAAATACTTACAATACAATACAATCTGTGAAACGAGAAAATCTAGATGCGGCAACGTGTTGGCATTGATTTATTTTTTAAAAGTTTATTCAATCGAAAACGGAGGAGTTTTGAATCATGGCAAACAGAACGGTGGCGGTTTACATGGTTGCAAAGGCGAAAGCATGGATAAAGTTAGAAAACGTAAAGGCGGCGGCAAACGTAAAGAGGACCGCCTCCATCAATTCATGTTTTTGACGGCTACAAATTTACGCTTCTTTGCCAAAAGAAACTAATTGTACCGGTACATATTCCGATTTCCGTCAGCCTTTGGGGAACTGCATGAGTAATAATGTAGGGCAGGTCACCCGTACATTGTAACGTCACTGTGTGCAGGTGACCTGTTTAATTAAGCTTGGCGCGTTTCTGCTGGCTGCAAAAGGACTGCTAATTTACTCCAAGGACCAAGGTCATGTACAGACTGAACCTACTACACCATCGTACGTTATTAATCTCGCGTTACCAAACAATTAGCACAATCCAGGATCATTCATCGTGATTTCCGTGTTATTAAACTGTGGTGTGTAATGTATTAGCTACCGGTTGTAAAAAGTCTAACAAATTTTACATCGGATAAATAACAATAATGGACAACATTACGAACTCTTCGGTGCCGAAAACTGGTGTCTGTCTGCAGGGCCGTAGCGAGGGGGTGCGCACGGGGACACGCACTCCCCTCCTCGGCTAACTTCTGAATTTATTTTGCGCCCGAAACTGGCGCACGGGCGCGCGGGCGCAAAATTCAAGAGATTTTTTAAGGGCACAGCGGGCGCCGATACCGGTGCGCCCGTGGCGCATGCGCGGTGCTGTGTTGAATACGTGTACAGATTTTGTAAATTTGGGAATACGGCACACGGTAGGATTTGATCTGCTGTTCAAAGGAGCAGGGTCGTGGCGAAGTCCAAGGGATAAGGGGGGCACAACGGGCGCAGACTCTGAAATTTACGGGCGCAGTTGGCGCAGACCGAACTTAAAAACGGGCGCAACTGGCGCAGCCAATTTGCGCACCCCCTATCCGTCGGACCTCGCTACGGGCCTGCCTGTCTGTAAGGGAACTCAAAATCTGGATTACAGCATTGTTCAGTTTCGGTCTTCTGGGGGCTGTGTTTTCTGCTACTCCTGATCGTGATGTCGCCACTACAAAAACTAAGAACAGGTTCCGGTCTGCTTATCAAACACGCATTGCTAACTGATCTCAGCTGTTGTCTCATTCTCAATCCCGTCATCAACGTCCCGATATACTTATCACAAATGCACATTCGGACAACGTACCGTTGTATTCTTCTGGATTTCTTGTTTCCGCTCCACATATATCTGGGCAACTGGACGGCCGTGGTGCTGGCCGTTAATCGGGTTTTCCCGCATCTTTATCCTCGCATCGCTTCGTAGCGTTTCTCAGTCAGTCTGTTGTTAGTCATTTAGAGTCTTGCCATAAGCTGCACCGTTCCGATTTTTGCCGGTCCTGGATTGCAGCACGCGCGACTGCCGTTCAGCGCCTGTGGATCGCTGCGTGTGCACGGTGCAACCACTGGCAGCCACCTACCTAATATTTTATTGGGTATAATTTATACCGGGCTTTTTATTTATACTCGTGTGACAAAGACGTATAATCGCCGTCATATTGTGGATTCTACGGATCGTCAGCGCGGTATCTGGAAAAAACGGCTTGCCATTGCCAAAGCGTTGTTTTTGTCGTTTGCGTGGTATGTATACGGTGTGCACCCTGCCGGCCCTCAGTGTTGCGCGTAACGCAAATAATCGGCTACGCTGCAAGTCCAGTAAGTAAATAATCATGTCTGTATATTGTGTAGCATCTTTTTTCGTTTGCTTTTTGTTAAGTGAAGTGTTTTCCAAAACCTTGTCGGTTTTAGGCTTTTTTCTTCGCCATGAATGCAGATTATCGGACACTGCTAAAGGACTGCTTTGTCTTCGTAACACTCTTGGAAGGATAGCTCGCACAGCCAACGGCACAAACAGTTGCGTTAAGGCTCCCAAACGTTGGAGTTCCAAGCTTTCGGAGGCGTAATGCGATAAACTAATATTAAATAATTAATACAATTACTACCGGGTAGATTGAAAGCTGCTATTTAAGCCTTGTCTCGTTTACCACCTACCTGTTTGTCTCTTTCCATTCAATTTTATTGAAACCTAGTAAAATTAATCGTTACTGGTTGTTCTACCCAAATCTCCGTGTTTTCGACAGAACAAGATTTTTTTGTCCCTTTTTTCAAAGCAAAAACAGAATGCTACTCCTTTGAGCTGTGTTAGTATATTTTACGTTAGGTTTCTAACATAAAATAAACTTTTCTTAGGACTACGGTGTATAAGACCTTGGGTTTCTCAACCAGCGGTTCTTCCTACTAGCTTTTTGTGTTCGACATTTATTCAGCTTGGCAATTACCTAAGCTACTCTGCTAACCAACACTCATCGCATGGTTCAATTATCGTCTCGTTTTCGCCGAAATTTCCACGAGAACGAAATTAAGATCATCACAATTCCGGAAATTAGCCATTAGATTACAGTGTCACTGTTGCAATTATTTTCGAAGGAATTTGGACTGCGATTCCTGCGGAAATCATCATTACGGCAGTACACTACAACATGCTCAGACACAAGAAAGGCCACCTGATAATTGCTGATTTCATGATTGTTTTAATGAGCAGAAAGAAAATCACCTGGTCACCTTTGTTTGGACCTTTACCTGTTTTTAATTAGCGTAATATAGGCTTTCCCATGGCAGTACTATACTACAAGCCCATCCAACAATTCTTTGACCGCTGTAAGCGCAGCACATATAAATCGCGCACAGTAATGCAAATACGCATCGTAGTGTAGTGGCAGATATATTTATAAATATTCAACCAACAATAATATATTAGATCACAATTAATCACCGATAAAGCATCATCACAGTTAAAATTATCAGGTTAATCAACAAAACCAAACAGATCGCAGTTAGAATTATCACAGTTAAATTATCAGTAATTACGTACAAAAGAAAAAGATCAGTTTATGAACTACCATCCATAAAACGAAATATGGAACGAAATATCAGTAGTACTCAATTCGAGCGCCACCCGCGTGGAAGACCTTCTCATATCGCACTGGAATAGATTTGTAAAGATTCTGGCAGAATTCTGTTGTGGCAGACATCACCCAGAAAGCATAAAATTAATATCAATTATGATGGCAATAAATAACGCTAAACATATTACAATGTATATCACAGATACAGCAACTGCAATACATGCAGATTTGTTGCTTATTTACGCTGAATACGCAGACCCATGTGGCGTGACGTGTCGAAGCACATTAAATGGCTCAGGCCCACGTTTCTTTAAATTCCCGCTTACAGCGGTCAAAGAATTGTTGGATGGGCTTGTATTAAGGCAGCAAAGCGAATTCGATTGCGCAATACTAAGGCAAGCCGTTGTGTATACGCCACATACTTCTATTGGTGGTACGGTAAATGTATTTCGCTTTATCGTGCAACAAAATCATCGTGGTATAGTTCAAAAGAAAGCCCAGAAAATTTTACGTTTTCTGGTGCAAACGTTTACAGTAAAAAAGGCGAACTGAGGTTTTAAAAACGTTTTGAAAGCAAATCGAGTTACCATACAAAGTCAATTCAACGGTCGGTCCAGACCGCACGACCGTTGTAAGCAAACTGCATACACTTCGGAACCTTTCTGAATCCTCCAATCAGCCCAAACTCCACACAAACTATACATCAGAAATCTTAAAATTTTTTTCTCTTTCTTCTAAACTGTAGGTCACTCGTATTGAACTTGAACAAACCTCAAAGCGCTTATCATAGCAACCTATGGAGCATACGAGCCGTAAAGCATAGCGCTGGTGGATGGCTTGCCTTATCGTGACGTAGCACCGGAAGTAGGCGTGTCGCTTTTTTGCCTTAATAGTTTAGTACTGCCATGGCTTTCCTTATAAAAAGCTTTCGTAATACGTACAGTGAATTTTCTGCTAGCGGAGTATCAGCTCAGGACTTATTTGGCGTCACCGCTTTATGAGATGACGTGTCCCGGAAATTCGTAATGAGCATGCCGTGCATAGTGTGCCGTCGATGGAGCAGCTTCCGTTTAGAGGAAATCAGTCATCAGAACAAGCCGCGTAGAACAAATCGAGCACAGCCGTTCCGGCGTTATGCGCGGTCGGCTTTACGCTGCAACCGTACCACGCCGATTTAACTTTACCCTGTTAATTCAGTGTTTTTTTTAAATTTAATAACCGAGTCCTTGACTGTGCAGTTAATACAGTGAGCAGTTCATGCTGCTGCAACGCTCGTTTTCTCTGCTGCTAAGGGCAATTGTTAATTGTACGTACCATAGCTATACCTTACGCCGAGAATAACGGAAATAACGCAGATTTTGTCTGTTAATGAATAACGGATCAGCCGAAATGCAAAACCGCTAACTTATAACCCACGGCACCATAATTTTGCGGTCGACTTATAACCCACGGCACCATAATTTTGCGGCCCTAATTCGCAAACAACACAGGACTGCAGAAGAGCGTAACTTAACTTTGATATTGTGAAACGACCTGCATTTCGTAAACTTTTCACGGGACTGCCGGGTTCTGAGATTCGTCACGTACCAGACCAACAGTCACCAACTCCACCTAGCGGTAATATCGCGCACAATGTTCGATGCAACTACACCATTAAGCACACAAATTTACAAGTAGCACTGTTTTGTGCTCACAGAGTTCTGGTTGCTATTATCGTTTGTGCTACGTCAAGGTCAAGCACTTTCGCAGAACAAAATTATAAATCTCGTATTACCAAGCAATCAGCTCAACATGCTAGGATCCTATATAAGCCAGATCTGCATGTTTAAAGTAATTTTCAAAGCGTCATCACAAACGTGGAGAGTGGAACTGGTTATAAAACGTCAGTTAGACATCTTTACAATAAAAGTAAAATGGAAAACTCTACGAATTCTTCATTGCCAAAGATTAGTGCCCTTTCCGCTACAGAACTTAATATCTGGATTGCTGCATTGTTCGCATTCGGTTTTCTGGGTGCAGTGTTGGTCCTCCTGCTTCTGATCGTTATGTCGCGACTGCAAAAAATAAAAACTGGTTCCGGACTGCTGATCACGCAAGCGTTACTAATCGATCTCAGCTGTTGCCTCATTCTGAATCCCGTCATCAACATTCCCATTTACTGCACGCAAATGAACATACCAGTGGCGTATCAGTGCAGTTTGTCGAGTTTTTTGCTTTTGCTTCACGTATACTTGAGTAACTGGACGGCGGTGGTGTTGTCGGTTGATCGTGTCATCGCCATTGCCTTCCCTCATCTGTATCCACGGATTTCTTCACAACGCTTTTCTGTCGGTGTATTATTACTGGTATGGAGTATCGTCTTAAGCTGTGTAGTACCGATTTTTACCGTTCCCGGTATGCTGCGCGGTCGGCTACCGTCCGGTGCTTGTGGAATATTGCGTGTTCAAGGTGTGACCTTAACACTGGCTGGAGCCATTGGTATCTACCTGCCTCTTATTTTATCGGGTGTGTTCTATACCGGACTTTGTATTTATACCCACGTGCCAAAACTGTATAATCGCCGTTATAATTCCACGGATCGTCAGCGCAACGCGTGGAAAAAACGGCTTGGAATCGCCAAAGCGTTGTTCCTGTCGTACGCGTGGTATACGCTGTGCACACTACCGCCCTCGGTGTTGGCTATATTTTCGGGGTTTTTATGGAACAAAGATGCCAGACTGCTGTTGTACACGCGGGTAGCGCAAATAATCGGCTACGCTGCAAGTCCAGTAAGTGCGAGTATATTGTTGAAGGCCATCTTAATATTCAGTGCAACAGCCACATTAAAAACTGAAATACGTTTCCCGATAATACTCCAGTGTTTGTTTTTTCGATTACTATGTAATGTGTCCTCTAAGTTACTCGCTGCTCAAGAGATTTTGATAAGCGCTTTGATGGTTTTAGATCTTTTTCTTCGCCATGAATGCAGAATATCGGGCACTGTTGAAAGACTGCTTTCGAACTGGTGGAACGCTAGGAAGCAAAGTTCGCACTGCAGACGTCGCAACCGTAACATGACGACTAAATAATTTTAATCCCCAAATCTTTGGGAGGCGTAATAGATGATACTGCTTTAATATTAAACAATTGCTCTGCCCGTTCTGCATAATAATTATATGTTCTGTCTGTTCAGTATTTTGATGATCAACGGTCAGCATGCACGACATATAGCAGCATACGTAGTGTTATATGCGCTCAGACTTGGCACTGCGTCCGGCAATAACTGGAAATTGGAATTTTTTTTTCTTTTAGAGGTTCTTTCCGCTACGCAGGTGGGTTATCACTACTAATAAAGTACCCCCTTTTCTGTATTGCATTGTTGTGTAAAAAAGTAGCGAACCAGGGAACAATAATATTAAACAGTTGTCAATCCGCTTTATGTTAATTAACAATAAGTTCAATATTGCATGCGTGTCACAATCTTATTACATAATTTTTGACTAATTAGCGTTTTCAATTTGCTAGCCTGGTAAGGTATCTCCGTTAGTGGAGTTTGGCTACTATAGTTCGATGATTGCACCATTTGCTATTGTGAAACATTTTTACATTACTCGGACACTCGTCAAGTTCTCATAACAACTGATGCACAACTCAGAAAATAACATGATTTCAATGAAAACACGAAACAACAGATCTTTCCAACCAGAACACGGTCGATACAAAGAATCTTATCTAAAACAAACCACACTGGTGCTGTACACGCGAGTAGCGCAAATAATCGGCTGTGCTGCAAGTCCAGTAAGTAGATTTTTTTACCTGTAAAGGTCACTTAATTATGCAACCCACGTAAATACGATGTAGCAGCAGCCGATACTACGTAGTATCGGCTGTTGCTACATCGTATTTTAATACGTATTTTAATACGTATCGTATTTTAATACGCATACGTACAATCAGTACACTGACAGTTGTTTTTTAGTATGGATTTTTATTCTGTCCAGTGTGCACTATCGTATTTGTTGCCCCGTATTGTATTAAGCTGTGGAATGTTTTCAGGTGTTTTTCTTCGTCATGAGTGCAGAATATCTAACACTGCTGAAGGACTGCTTACGCCTTCGGATAACGCTTGGAAAGAATACTCGCATTGCTAGCGTCCCAACAGTAGCTTGAAGGCGAAGGCTACGTACTTGAAATTTTAAGCTCCACTTACAGGAATGTGCAATGTTGTAAGGTCACCGGATTGAACTAATACTCTTACACTAACAAGCCGTTATTGTACCTTTTCCATTTAATAGTTACTTGTATGCTCCACGAGAATGTTAAGCGATTTAATTCCGACAATAAAATTATTCCCTTTTTATCTGCTTGAAGGGATTTAATGCCGACCATAAAATTCCCTAGTAATCTGCATTATGATACATGGTGCAAAGTGAAAACGTGATTATGTGTGTATTGCAACATCCGGAAAGCCGGAAACATAAGAATATGCACGTTATATCAGCGTATGTCCAGATGATTCGTGCTCGTACTGTAAGAAAAAATCGATCTCCAGAAAGAATTCTCTCCAGTGACCACATTTGTATCAGGAGCTCTGCTATTTAAACTGTAATAAGCAGAGCATTCCTGGGAAAACTCTTTAAATTACCATCATTTTCCTTGTTAACGCAATCGAGCGAAATATCAGCTCAGGAATTTGTCCTTCGCTGACATTGGTGATATTTCCGCTGGTGTGGCGTCGCCGCTGCGTGAGATGACGTGTCCCGTAATGCGCGTGCCGTGCACGGTGAGCCGACGATGGAGCCAATCCAGCTTCGAAGAAATCAACCGTCAGAATATTATCCGCTCCTGAACTGTCCACACTAGGCTTCCCGCCGCAACCGTACCACGCCTGTTCGCCCTGGTAAATAAATTTTTTTAACCCTTAGGACTGTGAACTGATAATGGTACCGTGATTAATTGTTAAGCGTTCATTAAGCTCGTTAAGCGTACAATTTAAAAAAGCTATGTCTTACATCGAGAATAACGGAGACAATATAGAAGTTTTCCGGTTCAATGGGCACGAGTTCCTCAAACGCCACTCGAAAGATACAATTAGTATTCTCCGCGGTACACATTGTGTCGCGGCTGGCGATAATCTCTTGTTGATCGGCAATCACGCGTATCACTTTCATAATGACATTGTATTTGGCAAAGCGTGATGCGTTGCCGAAGATCCCAACGGTCTGCAGCTTAACCGGCTGGCTAACTCGGAAACTACAAATACAGACAAACGTAATAAAAATAAGAACCAATGATACCGGTTACATTGATTTGATTCGTTCCTCTTGCATTAGCCAGATCTTTCGGCATTTGTTAACTTGCTGCCTTTTACGGTTTGGTGTTTTACATGCGGAAAATCAGCGATTGGTTAGGGCAAATCTTAATTATTATTATTACGCTATCAGGTCTTCCACTCCACTGCGAGCTTTATTTTTCATTGGTGCGACAGTAGAAAAACGTTTAATAACGATCTCTTCCCCTGCTTTTCCGTAAGCCCGCGGTTCCATATTGAACATTGACACGCGAAACGAAGAAGAATCGAAAGCGCGAAGCAGCAAATCATTCAACTCTTCCATATTCAGCAAACCCTTCTAGGTAAATAAGGTACAGTAGAACAATAAAAATATCGTAATTAATTAAATAATGTTGACCTTAGTTTTAGCCGAACAGGAAATTAACTCTTCAGTAGTCATCAAGGGAAAACGGATGAGAAAGAAGACGGTCTGTAGCATCTCTCTTTTGTTAGCGACAGACGCTGTTATACCATTACGTTCACAGGCATGGCACGCCCATCTATCGAAAAACAATCAACATTGTAAAACATCTAAATAGCCTGCAATCTGACAGTTACTAAAATATATGAAATCTATGTAAATTCTTACCTTTCCATTGCATTATAGACATTTAGTTCTTTGACTTGTAATCCGTCACTGGATAAAATGCGTCTAAGTGTGTCCAGGCTAATCTGCAGCCAATCAGCGTCTGCGGTCAAAACCGGAAAGTGCTGGTCGATGATTGGGAAGCACCACTCCACGATATTGTCTTCTCCATATTGAACAGCCTAAAAGACCGTTTTCTGATCGAATTGCTGTACAAATATTAGTGACATTTTTATCGTTGTTTTGTGCTTACTTTATTGAGAATGGTAAGTACATTGTTCGCGCGGCACAAACTCATCGCATTCTGTTCGCACAGTGCTATGAGCACCGGCAGTTCATAATACCTCGCGGCATACAGGGTATCCATCACATCGTTTGGTACCATCTGAGCCGTCTTATCGGTGTAAATGTACCTAAAAGATGGTTTGGAACTGGCAGTCGGAGTTAGCACAATGCAGAATTATTTTTACCGTAGTACACTGCGAAAAGCTGACGGGGTAACATGGGTAATCGTAATCGGTTTACTGTCGGAGAAGTCCGGTGAGGGACTGTAGAATAACCGCTCAAAACGCTTGCTGGCTGATGCTAGAATAAACCTGCAAAGTAAATTTGTATGAAGAAAGCCACTGGTATGAGAAAAACGGCGAATACAATACTTATGTGCTGGAACCGTTAGCGCATCCGCCGTCGTGCCCAGTATGAATTCCACATCGCTGAGGATGCTGCGCTCCAGAAGGAAGGCAATGCGATCGGGTAAAGCGCTAAATTTCGACTGCCATCCCCATGATGACTGTGAATGTACTGATACCGTGTTTTCTGGCATGGTCGAACCAGCAACGCTTCCTTATGCGCAAATATGATGCACACTGCGCTTTGCCGTTATAGATGCAACACCAGCGCTGCAAAAACGATGCCGAACCGTGTGTGAGTGAGTTCGCGATATGCTGCCCGGATTTACCGAATAATGAGCGATTGTTATTCATGTAAATCATGCAGCATAACTATTGTGGATTCCGTGATCGGGATATAAAACGCTTCGATAGAATAATTAGTGGTATAATGTGAATGCTAAAGTTAGAAAGTACAGGGCATAAGCAAGACAAAAATAGGAATGCAGCTCTTGTTATATTTTTTGTTTCTGGAACCACAAATTCGAACACTTCGGACATAAAACGGCAGACACAAAATTTAGGCGACAGCTAATCCACTATTTCATTGCACTTTCGTACCACCATCGTTCTCGTAACGTAGCTTCATGGCTTTTCTAAAATTCGAATACAAGAACAAGAGCTGTATGAGTGTATGTATAACGCTCGTATATTAAACCGAATGGTATGTACTGAAGATTAAGGTCATGCCGTCCTAAATAGTTAAAATTGCTTGCGGCAAATGGCTACGCGACAGATCGTCGCGGGACATTTGGTTTTTCGGACATTTCTTCAAAAGACAACTCGTTTTGTGGCAAATGGCAAATATGACTGTTCGTTCCCGTAATTCAGTCGATAACTTTTCGACTCCCCAAAAGTCGCGCAACCAAATATCGCACAACAAAATGGCTGCAAAACGAGTTGTCCTAAAACAAATTAGCCGCTGTGATGAAAAACCTGTGGCGAAATGTCCCACGACGAAATGTCCCGCTACCACTAGCGCTGTCACGATTTCTTCAACAGCGCATGTCTCTGGATATACATGCAATGGGGAAACTTAGCTTCAATTATTATTGCAGGCACAATACAGCAAGAGACAACTTGAATTGTAAAACGGCTGCAGTTTACGGTTTTTTGCGTACAGGGCTTCTTCTAATAATTATCGGATGATCTTCTGAAACAGTGAAGACACACAGATTAATGATGCAATAGTTGACAACAGTTATAGGTTGCCATGTCTTCAGCGAATAGTAAGAAAAACATTGGTTCAGTTGTAATATTTTCGGTTCGTAATGAGCAGCGACGTTCATCTACAAGCAGCTCTCTCTTGCAATTTGGTTCTGTTGGAGCGGTATCGGCACTATCTTCTTGAAAACAAAACATCGCTTCCACAATATCTTTAAAGTTTGCCGATAGCTTGCGTTAGTGCCAAAGAAGAACACCTAGAGTAGAAAATTATAGTACTATTGATAGCTTTGGCAATCCGTATTAGAACCAGTCTAGGTTGCACAACTTGCACTTACTGGACTAGCACCGTATCCCAACACTTGAGCAGCTCTGGTGTACAGAATAAATCTCAGCTCTTTCGTCCACCACATTCCGCCCACATGCGTAAGAATAGCCGGGGGCAGGCAGCAGACACAATACCAGACAAATGACAGATCGTCTCCAAATCAGCAAATAAACAAGCAAACCGCCATACATCAAGCCATTTAAGGGAAGTGGGCCGGTACATGGTACCAAATTCGTGTACATGAACGAAAACTTGCACTTTCGCGCACTCCCAAACACATTTTTAAATTGTAAGCGAATTTCCTATCCTGGGATCCGGTATGCTGGGATATTGCAGACTTTTCGTGCGGTAAATGAGGTTTGAAGAGTGCCGGCATGGCCGGAAGTGCGCAATTACAGCTGAGTATCTTACTTTGCGGTACAGATTGCTCACTGCCGGCACCTTCCGCCTGTGCCCGGTCCCTTCGCCCCCCTTTAATGATAATGACAGTAACAATGTGCATGACAGAATCAAAACAACTTGCAACAACAGCTCAGAGAAACCAACAGTCAGAATGTGCCCTGTAGGGCGGGCGGGTGGTAAATTCGAACGTAACAGCATGAATGTAGCCGAAAACACGAATGCGAGTAAGCTGTAACGCGCGAAAGGCAAAATGCACACGGCACCATGCTGCCGGTGCCGGGATTAACAGGGAAACAACTGTACAGGAATTCGTAAATTGCGCCAATTTAACATTAGCTAAGTTACACTTAACTTTCATTTAAATTGTAAGCGAATTTCCTATCCTGGGATCCGGTATGCTGGGATATTGCAGACTTTTCGTGCGGTAAATGAGGTTTGAAGAGTGCCGACATGGCCGGAAGTGCGCAATTACAGCTGAGTATCTTACTTTGCGGTACAGATTGCTCACTGCCGGCACCTTCCGCCTGTGCCCGGTCCCTTCGCCCCAAACAAGCCCCTTTCCGGTAGAAGTTCGGGTTAGTGAGCGCGTCAGGCCGGATGTAACGATCAACGCAGTCGCTTTTCCATCGTCCGGCTCGCTTTATCTCCTCCTTCGGCAGCGCTTGAGCGGCCGCTTCGGTCTGCCGCTCCGATGCGGAAGCTGTGTGTACTGAAGCGCAGGCGGTCGGGGTGGGCATCCAGGAGAGACTTCAGGGATCGATCTACTCGCTCCCGTGTGAGATAGCGACCATCGGCATAGCGGTAGAAAGGTTTTGTCATTCCCCCTTGCATCTCCCGCTGCCGGTGGTAAGCTTCGATAGCGCGGACAGGGCACACTGAGCGGTTAGTTGCGGTGAGCTCGATCTTTGTGCCTGCTGCGCACTGGTCCGATTTCGTCCGTTTCAGTGAGACTATCACACGCGCGCCCGTCAACTGTACGTCGTTGCATGTCAGGGTTGATGCCGCATCGAACAAGCTGGACGTCTTGCTTACCAGCTCACTGACTCGCATGAACCCAAAGAAAGCCATGCAGAACGCGCTCCATAGCATCACGGCCTCTTCAGTGTTATCGTGCTCTGCCAGTCGCGTTTTGAGCATGCGCATCACGTTCAGCGTAATCGGTAGACGTTGATCAGGCGTCGGCCCCTTAAGCCGCTTGTATCCGTTAACCGCCCGCACGACCAGGTCGTCGGCTGTTGGGTTAGGCAACGCTGCTTCTCGATGATGATTGTGGATCGCCGCCAAATACACTTTGCATGTCCGATAAGCTGCCTTGTCCTCGAAAAGCTGCGCGACAAACGCAGCGACCGTCGCCGGAGCTGCTGGGAGCGGTGTTAGGCGATTGGCAAGGCAAAATGCTTGGAAACGGCTCAACGAAGAATCGTATGTCGTTCGGGAGGATGAGGAAATGTTTGCGCCGAGGAGGCGCTGCAGAGTCGGGTTTGGTCGTAAGACTCCTGCAGGCTCCCGAAAATGTCCGGACATGGTGTAGGCGACTGCGACGCCTGAGGGGCCAGCTTTCGGAACCGCTCCGTCTGAAAACGAGATAAGGCATCAGCTATTCCGTTATCAACGCCGCGAACGTGTTTCAAGGTTAGGGTGAAATTATTATCTGCCGCCGCCCGCGTCAAGCGCCGCATAAGATCAAGGACGCCCGGGCTGCTGGAGCGCAGGCGTGCCCATGCCTCCACAGCGCCGGCGTTGTCAGTATGGAAAATGATTTTTCGTCGCCACAAATTCCGCCCCCAAACAATAGCCGCGAGGAGGATGGGAACCATCTCCAGGTACTCAATTGATGGCGGGCGTTGCAGGATCCACTTTGGCCACCTAAGCTGGAACCATTCGTTTTGATAAAAGGCTCCCAGACCAAGCGTGGCGGATGCGTCTGTATAAAGGTGCAGTACGTCAGAGGTGGTCCAGTCCGGGTCCAGGAAGAGGGCCGTGCCGTTCCATTGTGGCAGAAATGTTCTCCACCAATCCAGGTCACTGTGAAAGTCGTCGGTGAGAGTGATAGTGGAACGTCCATGGAAGGCGGAAAGCAGCATTATCATTCGCCTCGTGAACAGCCGACTGGATGGTACGCATTTTGAGGCAAAAGACAATGTACCGATCAGACTTTGCAGCTCGTTAGTGGTACAGGATTCCCTTCCGACCCAATTCTTGAGGGTTTCCATTATGTCTAGCTGCTTATTGTTGGGCAGGCTGAGAGTCTGCGCCACCGAGTCAAGCACTATGCCGAGGAATGTCAGCCGAGTGGCGGGGCCCTCTGTTTTGTCCAGAGCTAATGGCACCCCAAGCTCGCTGCACACTGCCTCCATAGACTGCATGAGCAGACTGCACTCGATCGTCCGAGGTTTGCCAACGAAAAAGAAATCATCTACGTAGTGTAGCAAGGTAACTAGCCGTGCTCTCTTTCCCACACACCAGTGAACAGCAAGGGAGAAGAATTCGAAGATATAAGGTGAAGAGCGGCAACCGAACGGTAGCACTATGTCGAAAAAGTACTCACCGCTAATCTTGAACCCCAGCAGGTTCCAGTCGGCGCGTCTGACAGGAATGAGGCGAAACGCGGACTTGATGTCCATCTTGGCCATCACTGCGCCTTTGCCGGCGGTCACGACTAGGCGTACAGCATCGTCGACTGAACAGTACTGCAAGGGCATTTCATCGCCCCTTATGTAGTCGTTGATGCTGTTTCCGTACGGTTGGGAAAGGTCCATTATAGTCCGATGGCCCCCGTCTTTTTTTGGACGGCAGCCCAGCGCGTTAACGACGAAGTGAGGCAGCGGAGGAGCAGAGAATGGTCCGACGGTATGACCCAGCGAAACCTCCTTTCTTATGCTTTGCAGGAGCGCGTCGTGGTGAATTCGTGCGGACTGTGAATTACTTGTGGACCGGCTTTGTTGCGGTCCTGTATACCGAATATCAGCTCCGGTACGCAAGGTGTTGAGGATGAACTGACGGAGATCTTTATCGGGGTGATCCGTGAGCAGCCTGGCAAAAGCGTCGGCACGCAGGGGCGTCCAAGCGCTTGCCGGAACTCTCGACGGCTCAGCGACTTCCGGCTTTGCACTGGGGTGCTTTGTGGTCCTTTTCCCGGCAGTGCTCGCAGACGTGAAGGCGCCGATGTTTGCATGGTTCGGTGCAGTGGCCGTAGTTATGATTGCGGCAGATTTCGCCCCCCGCTGCTGGGGCGGGACGAAAGGGCGGTACGTAACCGGCCTGGCCGCGGCGTGGCTGCTTGCACTGGGCGATAAAGTGCCCCAGCTCTCCGCAGTTCCGGCATTTGTCCGTGGGAGCTGCTGTCTTCTTCAATCTACTTTCTTGGGCACTGTCGCTGGCAGCCTCCTCTGGCACGGCGTTTTGGATATAATCGGCGTAAGTGTCGTCATGCTGGCGGGCCCACATGTCAATTTCATGAGGGTGGCTGGTCATGAGCGATCTGAATTGCCGGTCATACTCGAGCCAATGGGCGGTCGGAACCCCCCGGTCGACGTATGCCGCAATCAGATCTTGATATAGCCAGGGCCGTAGCTAGCTCCGGCACGATTGTGACGCGGTATGCCAGGAACACGGAAAAGGCGCGGATCCAGGAGGTGAAGGAGTCAACGACTACGCGCACTTCGTTTGGCTTTAACACGACGTGTCCTCTTGACATTACCAGCTTGGAGCCTCCATGCTTCGGTTTTTCCACCCGGTTTTTTGGTAGCAAGCAATCAAAATCGACGTACCGCGTTGGGTCCGCAAGTCGCCGGCGAACCCTGCTGGGGACCGCTGGCAGGTGCTTCGCCCGATCGAGCAGAGCGTTTCGAGCGGACGATGATGCGCGGTATCCGCTTCGTTGATTTCCGCAGGGATGCGGACCCAGACGGTCGAAAATCGGCGGGCGGGCGGGTGAGCGGCTGTGAGACGAGGAGCGGCTCCTAGAACTGCTGCTCTTACCTCTTCGTCGGCGATGCGCGCGTCCGCTGCTTCCTCTGCTGTGATGCACATCCCTTTTTCCGTCCGGGTGCGACTCGATCTGGATGACAGATGCAGTTGCTGGAGAGATAGGCCGGGGAACCCCAAGCTCCCTGGTTGCCAGCGGTGTGACAATATCCAGGAGCTGTTGGATTTGTCGCTGCTGTTGGTCCTGTCGCACCATCACGGTTTGCAAATCGGGTGCCGTTGGATCCACAACTACGACTTTCGACCTGATTGTAGGAGCAGGTGACTGGGATCGGTCGCGCTTTCGGCTGGGACGCATCCTGGATTGGGGAGCCCGGCCTCCTCTGGTGCCGCCGCCAGAGCGCGTTTTTCTCGGGCTCAGGTTTCGGTTAGGCTTTTTCTTTGGTGGCATTATGCAGAATGCTTCTGATCACCGTAAATTAAAGACACGAAGGGTATTGCTGGAAGATTTTAGCGAGATTCCAGAAATTCGAACGTAACAGCATGAATGTAGCCGAAAACACGAATGCGAGTAAGCTGTAACGCGCGAAAGGCAAAATGCACACGGCACCATGCTGCCGGTGCCGGGATTAACAGGGAAACAACTGTACAGGAATTCGTAAATTGCGCCAATTTAACATTAGCTAAGTTACACTTAACTTTCATTTAAATTGTAAGCGAATTTCCTATCCTGGGATCCGGTATGCTGGGATATTGCAGACTTTTCGTGCGGTAAATGAGGTTTGAAGAGTGCCGGCATGGCCGGAAGTGCGCAATTACAGCTGAGTATCTTACTTTGCGGTACAGATTGCTCACTGCCGGCACCTTCCGCCTGTGCCCGGTCCCTTCGCCCCCAAACAAGCCCCTTTCCGGTAGAAGTTCGGGTTAGTGAGCGCGTCAGGCCGGATGTAACGATCAACGCAGTCGCTTTTCCATCGTCCGGCTCGCTTTATCTCCTCCTTCGGCAGCGCTTGAGCGGCCGCTTCGGTTGCCGCTCCGATGCGGAAGCTGTGTGTACTGAAGCGCAGGCGGTCGGGGTGGGCATCCAGGAGAGACTTCAGGGATCGATCTACTCGCTCCCGTGTGAGATAGCGACCATCGGCATAGCGGTAGAAAGGTTTTGTCATTCCCCCTTGCATCTCCCGCTGCCGGTGGTAAGCTTCGATAGCGCGGACAGGGCACACTGAGCGGTTAGTTGCGGTGAGCTCGATCTTTGTGCCTGCTGCGCACTGGTCCGATTTCGTCCGTTTCAGTGAGACTATCACACGCGCGCCCGTCAACTGTACGTCGTTGCATGTCAGGGTTGATGCCGCATCGAACAAGCTGGACGTCTTGCTTACCAGCTCACTGACTCGCATGAACCCAAAGAAAGCCATGCAGAACGCGCTCCATAGCATCACGGCCTCTTCAGTGTTATCGTGCTCTGCCAGTCGCGTTTTGAGCATGCGCATCACGTTCAGCGTAATCGGTAGACGTTGATCAGGCGTCGGCCCCTTAAGCCGCTTGTATCCGTTAACCGCCCGCACGACCAGGTCGTCGGCTGTTGGGTTAGGCAACGCTGCTTCTCGATGATGATTGTGGATCGCCGCCAAATACACTTTGCATGTCCGATAAGCTGCCTTGTCCTCGAAAAGCTGCGCGACAAACGCAGCGACCGTCGCCGGAGCTGCTGGGAGCGGTGTTAGGCGATTGGCAAGGCAAAATGCTTGAAACGGCTCAACGAAGAATCGTATGTCGTTCGGGAGGATGAGGAAATGTTTGCGCCGAGGAGGCGCTGCAGAGTCGGGTTTGGTCGTAAGACTCCTGCAGGCTCCCGAAAATGTCCGGACATGGTGTAGGCGACTGCGACGCCTGAGGGGCCAGCTTTCGGAACCGCTCCGTCTGAAAACGAGATAAGGCATCAGCTATTCCGTTATCAACGCCGCGAACGTGTTTCAAGGTTAGGGTGAAATTATTATCTGCCGCCGCCCGCGTCAAGCGCCGCATAAGATCAAGGACGCCCGGGCTGCTGGAGCGCAGGCGTGCCCATGCCTCCACAGCGCCGGCGTTGTCAGTATGGAAAATGATTTTTCGTCGCCACAAATTCCGCCCCCAAACAATAGCCGCGAGGAGGATGGGAACCATCTCCAGGTACTCAATTGATGGCGGGCGTTGCAGGATCCACTTTGGCCACCTAAGCTGGAACCATTCGTTTTGATAAAAGGCTCCCAGACCAAGCGTGGCGGATGCGTCTGTATAAAGGTGCAGTACGTCAGAGGTGGTCCAGTCCGGGTCCAGGAAGAGGGCCGTGCCGTTCCATTGTGGCAGAAATGTTCTCCACCAATCCAGGTCACTGTGAAAGTCGTCGGTGAGAGTGATAGTGGAACGTCCATGGAAGGCGGAAAGCAGCATTATCATTCGCCTCGTGAACAGCCGACTGGATGGTACGCATTTTGAGGCAAAAGACAATGTACCGATCAGACTTTGCAGCTCGTTAGTGGTACAGGATTCCTTCCGACCCAATTCTTGAGGGTTTCCATTATGTCTAGCTGCTTATTGTTGGGCAGGCTGAGAGTCTGCGCCACCGAGTCAAGCACTATGCCGAGGAATGTCAGCCGAGTGGCGGGGCCTCTGTTTTGTCCAGAGCTAATGGCACCCCAAGCTCGCTGCACACTGCCTCCATAGACTGCATGAGCAGACTGCACTCGATCGTCCGAGGTTTGCCAACGAAAAAGAAATCATCTACGTAGTGTAGCAAGGTAACTAGCCGTGCTCTCTTTCCCACACACCAGTGAACAGCAAGGGAGAAGAATTCGAAGATATAAGGTGAAGAGCGGCAACCGAACGGTAGCACTATGTCGAAAAAGTACTCACCGCTAATCTTGAACCCCAGCAGGTTCCAGTCGGCGCGTCTGACAGGAATGAGGCGAAACGCGGACTTGATGTCCATCTTGGCCATCACTGCGCCTTTGCCGGCGGTCACGACTAGGCGTACAGCATCGTCGACTGAACAGTACTGCAAGGGCATTTCATCGCCCCTTATGTAGTCGTTGATGCTGTTTCCGTACGGTTGGGAAAGGTCCATTATAGTCCGATGGCCCCCGTCTTTTTTTGGACGGCAGCCCAGCGCGTTAACGACGAAGTGAGGCAGCGGAGGAGCAGAGAATGGTCCGACGGTATGACCCAGCGAAACCTCCTTTCTTATGCTTTGCAGGAGCGCGTCGTGGTGAATTCGTGCGGACTGTGAATTACTTGTGGACCGGCTTTGTTGCGGTCCTGTATACCGAATATCAGCTCCGGTACGCAAGGTGTTGAGGATGAACTGACGGAGATCTTTATCGGGGTGATCCGTGAGCAGCCTGGCAAAAGCGTCGGCACGCAGGGGCGTCCAAGCGCTTGCCGGAACTCTCGACGGCTCAGCGACTTCCGGCTTTGCACTGGGGTGCTTTGTGGTCCTTTTCCCGGCAGTGCTCGCAGACGTGAAGGCGCCGATGTTTGCATGGTTCGGTGCAGTGGCCGTAGTTATGATTGCGGCAGATTTCGCCCCCCGCTGCTGGGGCGGGACGAAAGGGCGGTACGTAACCGGCCTGGCCGCGGCGTGGCTGCTTGCACTGGGCGATAAAGTGCCCCAGCTCTCCGCAGTTCCGGCATTTGTCCGTGGGAGCTGCTGTCTTCTTCAATCTACTTTCTTGGGCACTGTCGCTGGCAGCCTCCTCTGGCACGGCGTTTTGGATATAATCGGCGTAAGTGTCGTCATGCTGGCGGGCCCACATGTCAATTTCATGAGGGTGGCTGGTCATGAGCGATCTGAATT